GATATATGAAATAATATCACACAAACTTTATAATATATTATTATTTGAAGATAGGGATTGCAACAACAATAAATGAATGGGAAGAGAGAATTGCAAGTCTTTGGGCTGCTTTGAATTAACTTCGTCTTAATTGCTACTCGAGGAATCTCTTCTGAGTACACTGCTCGAAGCACCAAAGAGGAGCAGGTTTCTTGCCTTTTTCTTTTTCATCATTAATTATTTTTCTATTTATTAATATTTTACTTTTGCAAAGGTATTTATTATTTTTCTGTCAAAATTGTTCGTATCGGCTGCTTTACAGATTCTGTCATAACTTCTCTTCAATTTTATTATATTCTATTATCATGAGGGGCAAATTATATATCAGTTCGTTTGCAGAAGTTTGTAGAAATTTCATCATAAATATCATTTTCTTAATTTGTAAGGGGTCATAGGAGAATTGGATGTTACTTTTTTAAAATGGGCTTCTTATGCTCAAATATTATTCCTTATCTACTTAATCTGAATTCTACGTGAACTACCGATGGCTCTTTAAAGTTACATTTACAACACTTGATATAAATCAATGAATCTCTATCGACCTTTTCCAGTGTCAAACATCTATTTAAAATTAACCCATCAAGAAAAATTAAAATGAAGGAAATATTTTCAAATGCCATAAATGAACCAGAAATTTTGAAAAGCTTAGAAATACTTCGAACAAATGACAGGACTCTTTCAAATGTGAGAGACCCACAAAATCGTAATCTTATTGTTTTTCTTGATGATATATATAGGAGAACAAGGGTCTTGAAGATTGACAACAAACTTTGATCTACACCATCAATTCTACATCTTATGAGCTTTTGATGTTATTTAATTCAATGTTATCCAAATAATTCATAATAGAGTAAATTTATTCTTATCCTTCTTTATTTAATACATGGTTTCACTGTTTTGGATTTATTCAATGTTTCGGTTAGGACTACAAGTGAGACGTCAAGCTTAGTTAGGTCATGTTTACTCGAATGGGAATGAAAAAATGAGAATGCAAAATTTTTCATTATTACCTTTGATGTTGTCTACCAATCCCCAAAAGACAAAACTCGACCCCTGAACATTTAGGACCACACCGCTCTTGATTATAATATGGCCCACATGTGTTGCAATTTTTTTTATTATTTTATTGAAATTCATGTCTCATAAATATCTTTTAATACTTTTTTAACTTTTTTTCAAAACTCATTTCTCGTTTCTTCTCCCCCTTTTTTTTTTCTCCGTACAATCTCTCACGCCCTTTTTTATTTTTTATTTTTATTATTATTTTTTTGTAACAGATTAATTTCCGTTCTGCATCCCGTTTAGGCAAAAAACCAAAAACCCAAAATTCAAAATAAACTTTTATAAAAAAGATAAGGTTAATGTGAAATTTCAGAACCCACCATTATTATTATTCTTCTTCTTCTTCTTCTCCTATCAAAACCAATGGCGACGGCTGTGAAAGTGTACGGACCACCGTTTTCCACCGCCGTGTCCCGAGTCCTGGCCTGTCTTCTCGAGAAAAACGTCGAGTTTCACCTCATTCCGGTCAACATGGCCAAAGGAGAGCACAAGCGCCCGGAATTCCTCAAGATTCAGGTACTAATTAATTTCTCAAATTCCTCTTCACTCATTCTCTTAATCTCACTCTCGTTTTGCTCCTCAATCTCCGATTCGGCAGCCGTTTGGCCAAGTCCCTGCGTTTCAAGACGAAAGCATCTCCCTCTTCGGTAATTAACGCTCTCTCACTCTTCCAATTCACCTAATTCCGAACTTCAAAATTAGCGAAACCTAGGGTTTAACTCGCAATTGGGCGCAGAATCTAGGGCAATCTGCCGCTACATTTGCGAGAAGCACGCGGAAAAGGGGAACAGGGGACTGTACGGGCTGGACCACTTGGGGAAAGCTTCGATAGAGCAATGGATTGAGGCGGAGGGGCAGAGCTTCAACCCGGCGAGCTCGGTTCTGGTTTTTCAGCTGTGTTTCGCGCCGAGAATGAAGGTGCGGCAGGACGAGAAGGCGATAAGGCAGAACGAGGAGAAGCTGTCGAAGGTGCTGGATGTGTACGAGCGGCGGCTGGGGGAGAGGCGGTTTCTGGCCGGAGATGAGTTCTCGCTGGCCGATCTATGCCACCTGCCCAACGCTCACTACCTGGCGAACGTCGCGGACACGGCGGAGCTTTTCACGTCGAGGAAGAATGTGGAGCGGTGGTGGAAGGAGATCTCCGGCCGGGACTCTTGGAAGAAGGTGGTTCAACTGCACAAACAACCATCTGCGTCTGCTTGATTGTTGTTTTGGCATTTGATCCATTTCTCCATGAAAACTATTTGTGGCATTTGATTCAACAAACCATAGCCATCTATTCAATAAATGGTGTTTATTTCAGTGAATTGTGTTTTACTAAACAGAATAAAATTGTGAAACTGTATTTGTTGAGTACAGGGTTTTTTCTTATTATAAATTTATATATTATTTATTTGAGTTAAAATCTGATTAGATAATGATCAATATTCATGGTAACACCTATATAATTTATTTTCATGAAATATGATGATATTCTCACACAAATGCGATTATTTTTAATTTCGAGGTATTTTATTTCTATATATCTATTGTATTGTTATTCAAGAATATCTTTTAAAACCTTTAACTAAACTAGTCTCTACAAATTAGACCACATCTCAACTGATTTAGATTTTTGAAAGAAGTTTTCCGTCTTAGGGCTAAATTTTAGTCACATAATTGAAAATGTAATTTTGACACAATTTTTTAGAATGTTTTTCACTCTCCCTAGAAAATAAATTTCAATTCTTGGCTAAACTATCCGGTAGTTTTCAAATTTCTAAAATTTAGGTAACCAAAACAAAGGAATTATACATTCTTATCCAAATTAAAAAACTAAACTACTTTTCAAATGTAAAATGTATATAGATATAAATAATGATTTGATTTTTTGATTGATTGATTTATTTTATATATAATATAAACAAAATGATAATTCTCAATATATGTATACCAACGGCCAACTCGAATTGCAATTCGTCCGTTTTGAGACGATGATATGAACAAGCGGCCGCGCCCCAGTGTGAGTGCCTTTCTTTAATCTTTGCTTTCCTGTCCGGTAAGGCTTCATCTTGGAATTTGTAGCATATTCACATCCCGTCATAATCTCCGGAGCAAACGCTGCACTGCGTTTGAAAGATAATGGTAGATGGTATTTTTGCCTCGATGCTGCTCCTTATTTCTGTTTCCTACCGAATTTTTCATCCGCCACTACCAGGATCCTTCAGTTCTGTTCAAATTCTTGACCCACTCAAGAAAACATCACCCCCTTCTTCTGCGGTCATTTCACTCGGTCCATCAATTAGAAACTTCAGAAGCGCTTGTTTCAGCTCTGGTGATCGCTGTGAACTCTTGCACTTCCGTCTCCAATTGCAGGACAATTCATGCCCGAGTAATCAAATCTTTTCTTTATAGAGATGGGTTCATTGGGGATCAGCTGGCCGCTTGCTATAATAATCTGGGTTGTGCAGAGGATGCACAGAAGCTGTTTGATGATATGCCTGATAAGGATTTGGTTTCTTGGAACTCACTGATTTCGGGTTTTTCACGAGGAAAGTGTCTTGATATGACCCTAAAAGCATTTTATTTGTTGAAGTTTGAAATGTCAATTAAACCCAATGAGATCACGATTCTATCGATGATATCAGCTTGTAATGAAGCTTTAGATGCAGGGAAGTATATTCATGGCTTTGCAGTTAAAGTCGGCGTTTTTTTGGAAGTTAAGGTCGTTAATTCTCTCATTAACATGTATGGGAAGTATGGGGATTTACAATCAGCTTGTAGATTGTTTGAGGCTGTTCCATACCCGAATACGATATCATGGAATTCAATAATTGGAGCTCAAGTTACTAATGGCTGTGCACAAAAGGGAATTGACTGTTTTAATAAGATGAGAAGGCTTGGGATTGAGCCGGATGAAGGGACTATCCTGGCAGTGCTTCAAGCTTGCGAGCATTTGGGTATAGGAAAATTGGCAGAAGGCATTCATGGTTTAATCTTCCGCAATGGTCTAGGCACGAAAATCAGCATAGCAACTGCTCTTTTAGATTTGTTCGCAAAATTGGGGAGATTAAGTGCTTCATGTGATGTTTTTTGGGAGATGGGCTGTGCAGACAGAGTTGCATGGACTGCTATGCTTGCAGGATATGCAGCACATGGATTGGGAAGGGAAGCGATCAAGCTTTTCGAGAGCATGACCGAGAATGGTTTGGTGCCTGATCACGTAACTTTTACTCACTTGCTTAGCGCTTGTAGTCATTCAGGGCTAGTCAGAGAGGGGAAAAGTTACTTCAATATGATGTCTGAAGTCTATGGAATTGAGCCCAGGCTAGATCATTATTCATGTATGGTCGATCTACTCGGTCGTTGTGGACTTTTGAACGATGCTTATGAGGTGATACAAAACATGCCTATGGAGCCTAATGCTGGTGTGTGGGGTGCTCTTCTTGGTGCTTGTAGAGTTTATGGTAACATTGAACTTGGTAAGGAAGTTGCAGAGCATTTGATTAATTTGGAACCTCTGGACTCCAGAAACTATATCATGTTATCAAATATGTATTCTGCATCTCGTTCTTGGAAGGATGCTGCCAAAGTGAGGGCCTTGCTAAAGGAGAGAGGTCTGAGAAGAAACCCCGGAAGTAGCTCCATTGAACATGAAAACAAGATCCACTGCTTCTTAGTCGGTGATCAATCTCACCCCAAGTCGGAGAAGATCTATTCCAAGCTCGAAGAATTGCTCGAAAAAATAAGGAAAGCTGGATATAGTCCAAGAACAGAGTATGTTCTACAAGACGTTGAAGAGGAAGTTAAGGAGGATATGATAAACAAGCACAGCGAGAAGTTGGCCATTGCGTTTGGGCTGTTGGTGTGTAAAGAAGGAGCAGCTTTGATCATAACAAAAAATCTTAGAATTTGTGGAGATTGTCATAACACTGCAAAGCTCATATCATTGATCGAAAGGCGTACCATTATTATCCGAGATCCAAAACGCTTTCACCATTTCTCAGATGGATTCTGTTCTTGTGGAGATTACTGGTAAGTCTTTACACTGATCCATAATGCCACTAATGCATATTCTAATGCATATTTATACCTTTAATATATATAGCTAAGCTACGTAGATCGATGACTTGACAGCTTGTTCAGTTTGTGTTTAATCAATCCAGTTAAAATGGATTGTTTAGTAAAGTTTGTCACATTGGATACCCTTAATTTTAGAGGTTAAAAAACACTTTCGGTACCATACTTTCATTAAAGTAGCGATTTAACCTATGAATTTTAGTGTAACAATTTAGTCATTGTACTCTCAAATTGGTAACAACTAAGACTTTAAATTTTATTATGGAACAATTTAGTTTCACTAGTTTAAAGTTTGTACTAACTTATTCCTTATCGTGGTTTTTTTTTATTTAATAAGGTTTTTTATATATGTAGATTGATCAACTAACGAGGGACCAAATATATATATAAGTTATAAAAAGTGAGTTGTTATACGATAAAAATCGACACTTAATTTTGATGAAATTTTTCACGATAGGGATTAAATCGTTACAAATTTTAAACTACAGAACTAAATTGTTACTAATTTAAAAATATTGGACTAAATCGTTATAAACTAAAGTTTAGGGAGTATATCATTACGAATTATAATTCAGGGACTAAATTGTTATTTCAACGAAGGTAAAGGAACCAAATGTGTTTTTTAATCAATTTTATAACTTGAAAAGATTATAAGGGTGGATATCAAAAATCATTGTGGACCATCCTACAACCTGGGTTGTAATAGGCTAGTACAACTTGTGCATCGTGCTTTAAAATTCGAGCTCGATATGTCGACATGTAGAGGGGAGGGGAATGTCATTTTTCCTTCTTGTTGACAAGTCGACGTGTCACTGTACAATCACATTTGTTTTTCTTCTAATGTTTATTTTTTACTTTTTACTTTTTACTTACTTTTTCTTTTCAAATTTAAATTCACACAATTTCCAAATTTATTTCTAAACTACTCTTCAATTTTTATTTTTCCAATCAAACTTGCATAAATTCCGAGGCTAATCTTAGTCACTCAAATTACTTTTTTTTTTCTTAATTTTAATTTTGAATTTTGTTTTATTATTTTCTACCGACTACAAATATCTCTTTTACTTTCACTTCTTCAACTCTCTCTAATTTTCTTCACACTTCAATCTAAAAATTCTCAATATTCTCTTATGGTCTCTAATCCTCTCCTACTACTTATCTTAAGTTACAAGTGAAAATTATCTTTCAAACTCTCTTATTTCGACTATTTTCTATATTATTATATGAGATACAATATACTTTTTAGTACTTGAGTTTGACGAAATCTCTATTTGATCCTTAGGTTTGAAAAACTAACACTTTAGTCTCCAACCTTTATAAAATTGTTCTAAACAACTTTATTTTAGGTGACAGTTAAATTTACTCTTGATTTTTAATTGAGATGGCAAAATATGTTGAAGTAATATTTGTTTTAGGGCTAATGTGGCATTTTTCCCTCTCTTTCCTTTCCGTTTGCAGGTTGCAAATCTGGAACAATTGACCTTGCGCCTTCGCTTTCTCTGTATCTGAAACTTTTTGATCTAAAACGAGGGAACTCGAAAGAGAGAGAGTTGTCGGCGGCGACGGTTGGTAAGCCAGTGGCGGCTGCAGGGAAAGGGTAGGGAGAGAGAAGGAAAGAGATATGAAAATGCCACATCAACCCTAAAATCAATATATTTTAACACCTCATTAAAAAAATCCATGTTAGCAGAGTCTATTGAGAACCATTTTTTAAAAGCTGAGGATTAAAATGTCAGCATTTGAAATCTATGGACCGGGTAAAAACTTGTAGTTGTAACTAAAAATGTGTTTTTACCCCATCATATTTTAGTTTTAACTTTTTTTTTTTTAATGATGTACTTATTATTAGTTTTCAATTCTTAATCTTTTTTTATTATTATTTTAGTAATTTATTAAGTAATATTAATTTTGTATAAGTAATTTGATTATTAATCTCTATTTTTTTTAAAAAAATTAAAATATCAATTATTATTATTCTTATTTTATGTATGGATATGAAAATTAAAATATCAATTACTATCATTCTTACTTTTATGTATGGATATTTCATATCTAGGTCAATTATGGAACTATTAGATTTGATATAAATTATTAATAAAATATAATTAAGTTACGATTGGACTTTAATTTACTAATTCAAATAATTTATATAAATTTTGATCTTATTCCAACATTTTCATTAACAGATGGTTAAAAGTGATACACTACAGTCTAATTAAGCTATAATTAAAATCTTACTTACAAATTCAATTAATTTCTATCCATTTATACAATTTTCATGATTTTCTTTTTAAATTTTCATCGACATCGACGTTTCAAACTTTAAGGTAAATTTCTCTTTTTTCTTTTTACGAGATAAGAGATTGAAAACCTAAAGTATGTTTAAAAGCTGCTCTCGTGAACAAGAACTTGAATAAGGACTTTCTTAAAATCTTCTCCCTCTCTCTCAACTCTTCTTCAGCCTCCACTGCCCCTATCCTTCAAAAGAAAGTTAATATTACAGACCAAAATGGAGCAAAAGAGTAAACTCAAAACTTAGGAACTAAAAATGACAAATAGAAATTCAACTCAAAATTTAGGAACAAAAAATATACTTCTCCCAAAACCTAATCTATTTTATTCTAGTAAGTGTAGTTTTTCTACTTTTAAAAACAAAACTTCCACACTGTAAATATTCACTAAAAAAAAGCCCAATGTATATACATTTCTTAAATATTCATAGGATAGGTACTAAATATTTTCTAGTGGGAAATAACTCTAAGCTAATAACTAGTACAAGAATTAAATCCGGTAAAAGTATTGAGACTAGATATTCTTAAATATTCATAGGATAAGGACTAAATATACTTCTTTTTATTTTTTCAGATCTCAAGATATGTTCTAGTCGAGAATAAAGATAATAACATACCAGAATATAACTCTGCTGGCAAAACTCTGTTAATTTCACCGATTACTATTCGAAGAATCGCCTAGAAAGTTAAAAACTTTACACACGGCCTGGCTGGATAAATATTCGATGAGTCCCTGAGTTGTCGGATAATCCCCACCGAACCAACTCGGATCAGACCCATCAAAAGGAACAATCCCTTCGAATATTCCTCTAATTCTCAGACCCCACTCTCTCTCTCTCTCTCTCTCTCTCTTCCATTTTAAACCCATAACTCTGCACTGTACCTTTCACTCTCTTTTCAGTTTCCACCATGAACTCTTCTTCTTCGATTTCATCCCTCTCTCTCCCCGACCAACTTCACCTCCTTCGGAAAGTCGAGGTTTTTAACCTCCATGGTCGTGATAAAGCTGGCCGGAATGTCCTCCTCATTGTCGGGAAATACTTTCCAGGTACTCAAATTTGAAGAACCCATTTGAAACTTGTGCAGGCACTTAATTGACATCAATTCAAGACCAAACTTATAGTTTGCTCTCTGTTTTACTTGTGGTGGTTGTTCTTTTGGATTCAGCTCGGTTTGTGAGCAGCGAGGCCGTGAGTTTTTACCTCAAAGACAAGATTTTCCCCGCCCTGAAAGAAGGGCCGTTCACGGTGGTCTACGTCCACACAGACGTTCACTGGACTGAGAATTTCCCCGGAGTCTCCTACCTGAAGGCAATCTGCGATGCCATCCCAATCACCGTTAAGAACAGCATAGAAGCTGTTTATTTTGTCCACCCTGGTCTGCAGTCCCGTCTCTTCTTCGCCACCGTCGGCCGGTTCATGCTCGGAGCCGGGTAAGGATTCTTCCTCCCCTATGCCCTGAATTTGAATTTCCACTGCACAAAGAAGTAAAAATACCAAATCTTATGGTGGGATATCTGGGTTCTTCTTTCTGATTTGCAGGTTATATAACAAGCTGAAATATGTGAAAAGGGTGGAGTTTCTATGGGAGTATGTTAGAAGGAAAGAGATGGAGTTACCGAAGTTCGTGTATGATCATGATCAGAAATTGGAGTTCTGCCCGGTGGTTTACTCTAGTTTAGAAAATGATTACCTCAGGGTCTTCTCCGCCGTGCCGTCGCTGGACTCGCCGGTTCCTACTTACTCCATGCGGTGTTTTGCCTGATGATCATGACCCACGGCAGCCGGTCACAGATGGCGGCAGGATACATGGGTCTTTTTGGGTTTTGCTGTAGGGGAAATAGCGGTAGAAAATATTGTACAGACTCTCTGTGGACAAAGTTGGAGGTAGGAGGTTTCCTTGTGGAAGAAAGGAACGGCTAATACTTCTCAGGAGAAGCAGTGAAAATATATAGGTTTAAATGAAGTTCTTTTGGTTCCTAAGTTTCCAAATTTTACTTAGAAGGAACTGCTCATCTCTGAATAAAATATATGCCCATGTCAGACTTTTCTAAATGACAAGGACTGAAAAATAAAAGAAACAGGTTTAAAACAAATACAACTTTTGAGGGGACAAATTTCAGGGTAATTAGATTCATAAAGGGGAAACATGCCGGGATATCAGCCATCAGGGAATTTGTTTATTACAGGGATGGTTCTGCCTTGGCTACATCTGGTATAAAGGCCAAAATGGACACTTTCCACCAACTTCGCTTTCACTATGATGGTTTGCAATAGGGATCTTTTTTAGTAAAATATACAGGAAACCATGTTGGGAAAAGAGGCAATGCAATTAATTAATGCTTAGGCAAAATTAGTATTTAGATGAAGTGGCATTCAAAGTGACAATTTTGTGTGTGTGTACAATATATAGTAATAGGATCACGTTTCGAGAAATACCAGTTCATTCTGACGTCTTGCCGTTTAGCCCTCTCTCAAACTCCAACCTTCGTTGCTGGCCGTCCGCCCAGTCCAGTCCACCACAGATCAGTATTGGCTCATCCAGTTACACTATGGTATTAACAGAACTATATAGTGACTATCTAAAATCACAATCAGTTATTGAAGCACTATTATTGAAGGACAAAATATATTAAATTTGTAATTTAGCCCTCATTAAATCATCTATTCTAATAATAACAAACCAACTGGAAAAATCTGGACAGAACATGTCTCTTTGAAAATTCGAAAGTTAGAAAAAACGTTGTTTCCACCGAGCGGAAGACAACAAGATTTGGCTCCTGTTTGCATAGCCAAATATCTTGGCAGGTTATCTTGAGAAAATGTTGCACATTAGTCAATAAACAAAATTTATACTCTCTCAATTTCTACAAAATTGACTCCATGCAAGATATAGGAATTTAACACCCTCTTGCTTTCAGATATTGATGGCTGTAGTATGAATGGCTCAGCAGCGACTAGCGAGGTAGTAGCTCAGTATGCGCATGGCTGTAATATGAATGTGAGGTCCATGAAATCAGAAAATACGTAGTCAGTCTTCTTCCTCAAAGACTTTACATGTAGTCCCAATTAGAAGGGTTCTCAGCCATAAGAGAAGTCCAAAATAATATGATCCTATTATTACTGCGGTGAGTGGTGCAACAGATCAGGTAAGTGAGAACAAGATGGGTTGGATTGAATCAGATATACCCAATAATTAGTCGGTAATGTCATACGTATAATGCCGTAGAATCTATATCTTCAGGCGATTCGTGAACTTCATCCTTCATATGCTTGCTCAATCTTCTTAACTCTCTACGTATATTTGCGATCTGTGGATGAATCTGGTCGCCAACAACAAACACATGAACCTGACTTTTCAATTCAATCCAACTACAACCTGGATCCTTATTCACCCCTCGAAGTTTCATCACCCTTCTAACCCGTTCGACATCATCAGACCTTCCCAGTGCTGCATAAATACTAGACAATAACACATAAGCAGATGATTCTTCTGACCCCAACTCCATTAGTTTCTCGCCTGCATATGCTCCCAATTCGTAATCGCGATAGTTTCGACAGGCTCCTAATAAGATACGCCATAAATACATACCATGATCAATAGTTGCAGATTCTATGAATTCTTTGGCTTCCTGTAGCTTCCCTGCACGGCTCAGAATATCTACCATGCAAGCATAATGCTCGACTCTTGGAATAATGCCAAACTCATCAAGCATCATCTTGAAATAGACCTTACCTCTTTCCACCAATCCCATGTGGCTGCAAGCAGAAAGAATGTTCACAAAAGTAACATAGTCGGGTTTCGTGGTGCCTTGCCGCATCTCTTCGAAGAGTTCAAGAGCTTTACGTCCCTCTCCGTTTTGAGAAAGGCCAGATATCATTGCATTCCATGACACAATATCTCGTGTAGGCATCCTCCTAAAGACAAGGTTCCCATCTTCCAAACTACCACACTTTGCATACATAGTTGAAAGAGCACTCCCTATTGGAACTTCAAGATTGAATCCATACTTGATTGTACGGGCATGGATTTGCTTGCCCTGTTCCAAAGCAGCAAGGCTTGAACATGCTCTCAAGACACTAGCCATAGTTAGCTCATTGGGCAAGATCCCTTCCATCTGCATTCTACAATACAGATTCAAAGCAGTTTCGTTTTCACCATTTTGAACATACCCTCCAATCATGGAAGTCCACAAAACAATATCAGGTTCTTTTAAATAATCAAATCCCTTTCGTGCATCAACTAGGCTTCCACATTTTGCATACATATCAACCAAAGCTGTCATTATGAAAATCTGGGATTCATATCCCATCTTCAGGGAATATCCATGCATTTGTTTTCCTTCCCCCAGAGCACCTATGTCACTACAAGCATTGATCACCCCAACAAAAGTAAACTCACTAGGCTTATTCCCATTAAAATGCATATATGAAAACAACTTTAAAGCCTCATGCGAGTCCCCAGCCTGCGCATAGCCAGTTATCATAGCTGACCATGTAATAGAGTTCTTATCACCAGTAAATTCAAATGTCTTAAGCGCATCATCTAAACACCTACATTTAGCATACATCGTAACAAGAGCATTCCCTACAGAAACAACTGATAACAACCCATTTTTAAGGGCAAGACAGTGAATTTGCTTACCATGGTCAACAAGCTCAGGAACCGTCAGTGCACTAAGTACACTGGTATAGATAAACTCATTATGAATTCCCTCTTCACGACACATCAATAAGAACAGCCCCCAAGCCTCGAGAGCCTTCCTTTGCATCGCATACCCCGAAATCATAGTAGCCCAAGAAACAGAATTTCTCTCCGGAATTCTGTCGAACACCTTACGAGCATCCAGCAGACACCCAATTTTGCAGTACATATTGAGAAGCGAACTGCCAACAAAAACATCATAAAAGCTAGAAGTCTTGATCGCAAGCGCATGGGCCTGAAGGCCACCCGAAGTTTCGGGCGAACTTGAAGCAGCGGTGAAAACACCGGCAAAAGTGTGGGCATTGGGCAGAGTGTTCTCCGCCCTCATTCTCTGAAAAATCTCCATTACCAACGGAGATCCCGCGGGACCCTGTTGAGAGTAGCCATTGATGAGGCAATTCCATGAAACCACGTCTTTGTTGGTTATACTCTCGAAGATGAGCTTGGCCTTCACAAGGCTTCCGCACTTGGCGTACAAATTAACGAGGCTATTGGCGAGGTAAACTGAGGAGAAGGAACCGGTTCTGAGGAGTTGAGCGTGAATGGCCTTCCCCTTCTGTAAATCTTTTAGATTGGTATACTGTAAGAGAGAATTGAAGAAGGAGCGATGCTGAGGAAGAAGAAGAAGACTCATCAACTCCGCTTCGATAACAAATGAGACCCGACCAGTCAGTATTATTTCATTTTGTTATTGGGCTGGGCCCACTTTCGGTCCAGGCCCTAAAACAATTGGGCCGGCCTGAATCTCGCAAATAGCAACTCAAAAAGTAAAATTTGAATAGGATTATGAATTTTAAAATTGCAAAGAATAAGCAATTCCCCCTTCATTCTTGTGACTGCAATGCTCTTTAAAATATCATCTCTTTTTAATTTCTTTGCATGTAGGGTAGGTTTAAACGAAAATTTGTTTTCAAAATATTATTTCGTTGGAAACTATAGAAAAAGCTTATACAAATTATGTTTGATTTTTTTAGAATAATTTTCTTAAGAAAATACTTTATTTAATTTTTTTAACATTAATCAAGTAGTTATCTTTTTAAAGATATATTTGAAAGTGTTTTTAGTTACCGTAAAAAGCTATTTTAAATAGCCTAAACTCCTCAAAATAGTTACCAAATGTACATAATTCTCACGACCTAGAAACAAAACAAAAGATAGATAACTCTTTAATTTTCAGAACTACTCTTCTTTAATTTTTTGTGTTCTTTTCAGCAATGGTCTCCCTTTACTCTAGTCCACTATTATATGTTGTACCTTAATTTTGTAGGTCACCCCCTTATAGTTTAGGCCATCCTTGATTATTTCTATATATATCTTTGACTTATCTTTCAGCCTTCTTAGTCTGTGCCTAGCCCTAATATGTCCCAAGACTCTAGTTTATTAGTTTATTCATTGAGAAATACAAGGCAACTTTACAAAAACTAACCCAAGAAAAGAAGAACAAGAACTTTTAACAAAAGTTCAAGTGGCAGACAGTGGATTATAATACTATCCCTAGTAGTAGTAGGACATTTTTTCCAACCAAAGTACCAAAATTTATCTTCCAACAACTACTCTTCTATTAGACTTCACAAGATTGTTGACGAAACATAATAAACCTATCTACAAAATTGTGCCATTCCGAAGTGCCTAGCTAGTCTTGGGGCAGAGCCTGCAGGCATCCCATCAATTTGTGGGCTATAACATTTGTGAGTTTAACCCAAAAGAAAAGATATATTTTAGTTAGCTAGATCCAGCTTCTTAAACGTTATCGAAAATAAAGGTGCACGTACCTGATCGATTGACATGTGTAGTAATTATCAATTCTATAAAACATTTTTTAACCATAGTTTCTTAGTATAAAGATCCCTCTTATTCTAATGTAATGTTGATTAATTTGTATAGCGTCTGTCCTAGCTTGCATATTCAAGTCATTTTCCAAGAGATGGGAAGGAAAGAAAGTAAAAGGATTAATGGGTGGAACAAAAAATGGTTCTACTACCACAGAGAGAGGGGGCAATAATTATAATGGGATGGATATGAATGAATTGATATCTCACCTGTTTGGTAAATGTCAAAGATATTGTGTATAGATTTGAATATATTTGATTGATAACGAGAGAAGTGGAAATGTGAGAGACAGCAAGTCACATGGTTACAAAGTGGAGAGGAAAAAAAATAATAATAAAAGAAAGAATCTATCCCACATCGATCACAATCATAAAACCCATCGTCATCTTCCCCATCATTCATGTTTTGAACCTCTCTAAAAGCAAATATATATATACACACACCAGAACACAAATGCATTATTCCCCAGCTCCTTCACAATCTCTAATGAATAATCTTTGTATATGATATGCTTTTTAATGTAAACAAATAGCATATAAATAAATATATAGTCGTTTTCTCGCGTGACATCAATAATTTAGACTTTGGAAAAGCAATAATCTCTCTTTTCCCATATAATCCTTAATCCCTTTTCTTTTTTCCTTTTAATAATTCTAAAACTCCAATGATTATATGTTCTCTTTTGCTTGACCCAAAGTTGGTTCCTCCAAAAAAGAAGTTAATTTGTTGCTTTCTGTCTCTTTCTGAGATGGGTGTTGAGAGAGAGTCAGCTTCAGCCCTTTTTTTTCTTTTTTCCTTTTTGATTTCTGGTATCGATTGCAAGTATTACTTAATCAAGTTAGTACATCCCTATAATCCGAGTTCATTGCTTAGGCCGAACAATATAAGATAGGTGGTACCTCAAAGTCCAATCACAATTACCACTACACCACCGTCTCCCAAGATACAGCTCAGCTCATTATCTTATGCATATTTTTTTAATCTATTCTTTTATTTCCATGTGGCTGGAAGAACTTGGTTTTGTCTCCTCCAAAGAGAGCCAAAACTTATGCGCATGGCGATTTTCCCAATCTGATGTTGAGACTTTGAGAAGCAATATTTTAGGGTTGCCTTTTACTGGTTATCCAAAAGGGGTTTTTAAAATAACCAAACAAAAAATTACAACAAAGATAAAGGTAAGTGCATGATTCTGCCCATCTGACTTGCACC